TTTAAAGAAAAGCAAAGCTGAAATCGATAAATAACTTAAATGTCAAAAGTAATAAAAAGAAGAAAACTTACTTCTAGTCATACAAATAACCAATCACCAAATATCGTCTCTTTAATTTTTTGTTTCATTTTTTACAGTCTGAAAAATACATTCCTTCCACATGCAAAACTGCTCTTGATGACATTTTGGCATATTAGATATCCTACGAGCAATAACTGCCGTAAATTTCATAAAAACTTGAAAAGCAATGACAGCCATCAGCCCGAAGAATAAGTAAACAACCCAGCGTTCGTAAGGCTTCCAAGTTTTCCTAGCTGCTTTTGAATGTTTACACATCTGTCAACACTTATTTATTGTCTGTTATAATCCTGAAATAAGTTTTCTTTCTTTTAAAAAGGTGTATGACTAACAAATCAAAATGATATCCCTCTGAATCAACACAATTATTTTCCTCCAGTGAAATACACAACTTATAAAAATGGCGACCGCTTACATTTAACAAAGCCAGGTCTAATATAAATTCGCAGTAAGTAACAGAAATATGGATGGATGGTTGGACTTGTTCTCCTGTTTTTTTTTATCAAAACGAATAATAAAATGAATAATATCACCGCCATTTAACGTTGATTGGCGAACTTATTTTTCAGCCAATAATTCTTGTATTTAATGAGAAATTCAACTTTTTGAGGCTCTCAATGGGGAAAACAGATTTTAATATAAACGTTAATATTAAGGAAATTTCGTTTTAAATTGTTTTCAAGCATAAAATAAAAAGAAAATTTGTTTGTTTGTTGTGTAAGATGTAATTTTATTTCATCTCGTGAACTTTAAAAACAGTATTCTCACTCGTGGCTACGCCACTCTTGGGAATACTGTTTTTAAAGCCCACTCGTTGAAATAAAATTTCATCTTACACACAAACAAATAAATATCCTCTATGTATAACACATCAGGGAAAAGTGTATCTTTTTTAAGTCTACAACGAAGTTAAGTGACAAAGTAAAGTCAATCAAAACATCGTTATAAAGTAGTCGGACATTACTAAATTATGACGTTACGTTGACATCATAAAAATCACGACCAACTCAAATATCTTAAATGAAATTAAGTGCTACAGGTCTATGACTCGAAAAACTTTAATGATTTAATAAAAAAGCGTTTTGTACCGTTACAAGATACGAATAAATATGGTGGTGTAAAACCTTTTTCGAAGTGTTCCGAGTGTTTCTGAATATCTCGTCCGCCATTTTTGTTAATCTCTATTCATAATTGTGTTAAACGTGATTATTTATCAAAATGGATAATATTAAAAAGGCAAAGCCTCAAAGCGAGCTCAATTTACTTTTACCGTGAAATAGTGTAAAATAATCGTTCATTTTTATTTTACATTTTCCGGTTTAAAACTGTCATTCCGGTATTGTATTATACTGATTCCGTTTATTCTGGTTCCCTGTCCTTTTATTGTTCCCATAAAAGTGTGCAGGAGACCATTGTACGCATCCGTTTTCAATCAAAATTTCTCGGCTTTTGTTGTTATCTTGTAATTCGAAAAGTTGCTATGTGTCAATTTCGTACTTCCGACGAAAGTTCTTAAAACCATCACTATCTAACAGGTACTCGCGTTACCGTAAAGCTCGCTTTCAGAGCAGGACCTTCGAAAAACAACTTCTATGTTACGGCCCAGCTCAGACGTTCCGCGTATAAATATTTAGAACGATCTTGATCTTAATTAGTTTCAGTGTAATATTTCTGTTATTTCACTTTTAAAAGCATATGTATTTTGCGTATATGTCTATTCAATTTCTGTTATTAACTACAAAATTGCACGTGAACATATACTGTTGATGTCCACCATCGAGTTCGTATCACTAATCAATAAGTGATTAGAATTATGCAACATATTGGCTTAATTAGTGAAAAGTTTTAAATAAAAAGCGCATGTTCCTTATTTTAACTGAGACATATGTTATGAATATCGAAACATGCAAAGCGATAAAACAAGAAAATTCTGAGAAATAGCACTAGAAATACATACGTTGATAGACAATTTTCTAAATCTGTACCGTAATCAAGATTAATTGCACGAAACATCATCCTAACACTCGCAATTAAATGATGTATTCATTAAATTAAGATGATCCAAGTAAATAAATAAAAAAGAATTGCAATTACAAGTTTAAGGTAATTAAATGTGCTCATTTTATCTACAGTTGTATGAAGATTCCCCGGTTTTGCTCCGCGGGCTTATTTCTTATCTACCCTCGTCAATGATAATGCGCGATTTTGTTAACTTGTTAAATTTTATGGCGGACCGGTACATATAAGGCAGAAACATTCAGAACTGCCTCGGCTATTATCTATAATATTAACCTCGGAAACAATACGGATTGAAAGAAGTTCTACCACGTGGTTTACAGATGTAAACAGAAACAGAGATAATGTAAAACGAATGTATATATTTCACATTTAATGTCTGTTCCGGTACTCTTATGCTTAAAAAATATGTCTGACAACAATTTGTAATTCAAATATGCCCACTGATGTTCAATTTTAAATAAATCCGACCAAATGTCAACAGGTTGGTTTTTTGTACTTTCGGTTTCTACAGCCATATAGTAAATATATAAATAATGTGTTGTTTGCTTTTGTACCTATGAATTCACTTATTTTAGGTGGACTTTTACTTCATATATTGGAAATAAACGTGTCAACAACTCCCAGCATTAAATTACTATTTATTTATATGTTTAGTTTCTTAGCGTAGGTTAGACCGGAATACCGCATCCGTTCTGTGTATTCATACTATTGTGTTCGAGGTCCTTATCCGAAGACTGACGGAATGGGCCGAGTAGTTGCGATTGAGGCAGAAACTGATAAAATGATTTTGGCTAACCTCGGGTGTTACAAACTTCGTAGATTAGGCGGGAAAATTGATTATATATATCGTTTAAAAATGGTATTAATTGTACAAAATAATGAAAATATCTTAAGAAAAATATGAAATTGATATTGGATTTTAATTATTATGGTGACTTTAAATAACATTGTTGAATTATGCGCATGAAAATCAGGCAAAGGGATATAAAAATAAATTAATCGTTTCATGCTGTTCTTAATTTTATGTATTCTAGTATAGCATTATTGGGAAGCTTGAATTAATTAAACCTTCGGTACAGAAAGTGCTGTGAAATGCATTATCATTTCATTGCTTTTAGCCATAGACCGTTTTGTGTTCACATTGACTTCCGGCGAATTCATTGGCTATTTGCCATTCTTTTACCGGTATATGTCACAACGCAGCTGAAAGTCGCACTTGCCGCTAAATGTCGCAAAAACTTCTACGATTAATTGTCGCAATGGTAAAATGTATATTCGTTTAAAATTATGTTAGCTAGGGAATTTTCATTATTATTTTTTTATTTTTTCCTTGTTGGACTTTTAGAAATCCTTATTAAGGGATTAGGTTTATTTCTCCTAATTATAGTAAAAAATCCTAATTAGTTAAATTTGGAAGTAACAACGTTATAGTATAGTTTTTCATGTCTCCTATTTAGGAGTATCAAAATCCTAATTAAGTTTTTGCAACTCCTAATTCTAGGTTAGAAAGTCCTTATAAGGCTTTTTAAATTTCTTTATTACCAATTAAATAATGTTTTAAGAGCATTTTGATACTGCACTAGACGGTTGCGTATCAAAAAACTTTTGAAAACTTAAATGTTTTCGACCACATACATGAATCCAGGACAAGTTGTAAGGAAAGTGACCGTGCGACCACATACACACATCACAGGATTCCCTTCCTCTTGCAAAAAGGGACAAACAGCTGTCCGCTCTTTTACATGCATCGCTCTTTTATTAAAGGGCAGACGTTTAAAACATGCCATTTCTTATTGTTATTGAAAAGGAGGCTAATTTTCACAGATTTTTTTAATGCGTTTATGTAAGGTCGCCACTGGAAAGCCCATATGGGCGACCGTACACTCAAGTCGGGCAATCCTAGAGCGTCCCGCCGAGATTTTTTTCCAGCTTTTATTGGCGGAGGAAGACCCAAGGTGCCCTCCGGGCATTATTTCAGACACGAGCACAAACCTGGGTAGAACCACCGACCTCCCGTAGGCCAGCTGGATGGCATCCTCACATGAAAGATTTCGACCCGAGTGAGGATCGAACCTACAGCGGTAGGGGACCTGTGATCTCAAGTCAGCGACCTTAACCACTCGGCCACGGAGTCTTTTCAGAGATATGTTTTGAATTGGTTTATATACAACAATAGTAATGCAAATCAAGCGGGTTATCAGTTTTCTTTCTTTTAAATTCGCTATGAAATTTTCAAAATAATCATATGTAATTTCTTGGAAAAAATTGAGTTTACAGTTTTTTCTCCCTTTCATTCTATGTACATAATAAAATTATTTTAAATTTGCAAAACACGAACGTTTCAAAACGTTTCAAATGCATTTTATATGTATTTCACACTGTTTGCAAAATTAATATTAACCTTGGGGCATTTAATTTCTATATTCGACTCCTGTCATTAGAAAAATATTACGAATGATATTTTAAAGCCTCAAGTGTGAAGAAAGGTGCGTTAAGAATAAAAAATAATAAAAGAGTGAGCTTGATTTTCTGTCATAATATTGGCCACTTTCAGGGCATTTTTTAGTCATCATAGACAACCTTGAAACATTTCTGCTACAACGGCAGCATATTCTATTCGACCGTGCTAGTTTGGACGCCTGTAAAAACACACTGGGTGAGGATGTATTGTGCAGTGATGATGGTATCAATGAATTTTGTAAAACTGTATTTTGATTGTGGCAAAAAAAATAATTCATAAAGAATATTATCTGTTATACCGATATAACTACAGGCAAAAGTGTCTTTCATATTCATTAGGAAACAAAGCGTGCTTACATTCAACAGGAATGCTGTCATTTACTACACAATTTTTATACATTTATGTTTTATAGACATTTTTGAACAAATAACATTTCAGGAATGATGCCATTGGAAGATCTATTGTGGTACGAAGAGAAAAAGGAACTGGGGCATCATTTTCTTGAACAAAGCATGGAATACTCCCTGTACACAAGGTCTCTCATGCGAACGATGTACTTGGAAAGTATATTAGCTGATGATCTTGACAAAATGCGAGAGATGATAATAAATAACACAATGGCATCTCCATCTGTCGTGCACGGAACTATCTGGTTCGACAACATGACTGAATATATTAACATTTTAAAATATATTCAGGATAAATTGGCTGAACGAATCGCACAGGTAACATACGTATTTGCTCATTAAAGGGACTCCACGGAGTTTTTTTTTTACATGATGTGACTTGAAATATTTTTCCTTGATTAGTGTACCATTTGATGTAGGCTTGGACCAATAATTTGTGTGCAAATTTTCAGACCATTTTCTCATCCGGCTTTTCCAAAATATTCATTTTATGGTGCATTTTATAAGTGACTCAAAAACGAAAAGAGTTGCAACACGTTTCGTTCAAATTGGGCTAAGAATCGCTATTAAAAATTCGATATTCAATTTAATTCTTTTAATTTCTTTGTAAGAATTTCAAATTTTATGTTTTTAGGCTTTTTGGCCTCAGTTTTTCTTTCTTTTCTTTAAAATTAAAAGGACACATGTTATGAATATTTTAAATAATCCATAAACCGTTCTATTTTTATTTTTATTCATTCAATCCATGATAAGAATGTGAAATAACGGAGCGGTGGTCTACTCTTTAAGGTCTGTCTCTCAATCTACTCACTTTGGTTCGAGTCTTCACGACCATGGTTCCTCATATGACACCAGTATTCGTTAGTTCTTGGAAAACTTGAGTGAGCAGTTTGAATAAGAATCAAACGTAATCATTGCAAATATTATATACTAGTAACTAAACTAAAACATAGTAAATAAGTCTTCCCAAAGATAATTCCAGTATGAAAAAAATACCTCTGTTGTACATCTCGGGTAAAATCTGTTCATAATATTGTATACAAAGATGTTACGGTAATTTTAGGAAGCAAACGAAGAAAACAGTGATTTAGAGGAGGAAATGACACTGCGGGCAATAGAGCTGGCCGTAGCAATAATATTGATCCCCATCGTTGTTGTCCTCGTTCGAAACATTATCAAAAAAATTCATAGATTCTCATCCGATCTACAATTCAAAACATTCGAGCTTGAGGAAGAGAGAAAACGCACGGAAGAACTGCTTTATCAACTGTTACCTCGAACGATTGCCAGAAAACTTATGCAAGAAGGCAACACAGTTCCGGAAGCATATCATTCGGCCACAATAATGTTCTCAGACGTCGTTGGATTTACAGAAATATCCAGGTATATTTATGTGTATTTTTGAGACCAGGGTTCATCGCCGTTTTGTCATTAACATGCTGAAACCGGAAGTTGTTAGCCTTTGCCACCGACATAGAGCAAGGCTAGTGTGGTAGTTATGCAGTCTGACATGCGGCTCTAAGCCGTTGGTAGCTCAATTTATGTATTTTTATTGTAATCCCTTAAATTTTGAATGGACTCTTTCAGATTCAAAGCAGGTCAAATCAATTTAAGAATTTCAGCTGAAAACCTCTTTTGGTCACAATTTGGTTATAGTTTTGTAAACGATGTAAGATATTAAGTCTATTTATAACTCATGTAACAATAAAGCGCCCAAACAAAGCGCCCTTTTCAATAGTATATAAAATTGATTGATTGATTGATTGATTGATTGATTGATTGATTGATTGATTGATTGATTGATCGATTCATTGATTTAATGTATACATTGACCAGTACAATATTATATATATATGTACTCGTTGTTTAATTCAAATGTCCAAATATATACTGTTAATATATCATAGAAATATTTACTTTCCCGTTCAAAGCAAGAACATGTGGACGTGCATTTTGATTTAAAAAATGGTCATATCGGGAAATGAATAATGTTTACTTTAAACTGAATTGCTTGCTCAATTTATCTTCAATATAAAACTCTCAGAAGAAAGGCATTACTGTGAAATAAATCCGAATTTTCGCTAACAAAATTTTGTATTTAATCAAAATCGTACTCTCTGTTTTCAGTCAAAGCACCCCGATGCAAGTGATTAGTATGCTAAACAAATTGTACCTCACAATTGATGGTCGTCTCGAACAATTTGATGTCTATAAAGTAGAAACTATTGGTAAGTAAGTAAGTGAAGAAATTATATCTCACAATTGATGGTCGCCTTGAACAATTTGATGTCTATAAAGTAGAAACTATTGGTAAGTAAGTAAGTGAAGAAATTATATCTCACAATATTGATGGTCGCCTTGAACAATTTGATGTCTATAAAGTAGAAACTATTGGTAAGTAAGTAAGTGAAGAAATTATATCTCACAATTGATGGTCGCCTCGAACAATTTGATGTCTATAAAGTAGAAACTATAGGTAAGTAAGTAAGTGAAGAAATTATATCTCACAATTGATGGTCGCCTCGAACAATTTGATGTCTATAAAGTAGAAACTATTGGTAAGTAAGTAAGTGAAGAAATTATATCTCACAATTGATGGTCGCCTCGAGCAATTTGATGTCTATAAAGTGGTACTATAGGTAAGTGAGTAAGTGAAGAAATTATATGTCACAATATTGATGGTCGCCTCGAACAATTTGATGTCTATAAAGTAGAAACAATAGGTAAGTAAGTAAGTGAAGAAATTATATCTCACAATATTGATGGTCGCCTTGAACAATTTGATGTCTATAAAGTAGAAACAATAGGTAAGTAAGTAAGTGAAGAAATTATATCTCACAATATTGATGGTCGCCTTGAACAATTTGATGTCTATAAAGTAGAAACTATAGGTAAGTAAGTAAGTGAAGAAATTATATCTCACAATTGATGGTCGCCTTGAACAATTTGATGTCTATAAAGTAGAAACTATTGGTAAGTAAGTAAGTGAAGAAATTATATCTCACAATTGATGGTCGCCTTGAACAATTTGATGTCTATAAAGTTGGACTATAGGTAAGTAAGTAAGTGAAGAAATTATATCTCACAATTGATAGTCGCCTAGAACAATTTGATGTCTATAAAGTAGAAACTATTGGTAAGTGAGTTAGTGAAGAAATTATATCTCACAATTGATGGTCGCCTCGAACAATTTGATGTCTATAAAGTAGAAACTATTGGTAAGTAAGTAAGTGAAGAAATTATATCTCACAATTGATGGTCGCCTCGAACAATTTGATGTCTATAAAGTAGAAACTATTGGTAAGTAAGTAAGTGAAGAAATTATATCTCACAATTGATGGTCGCCTCGAACAATTTGATGTCTATAAAGTAGAAACTATTGGTAAGTAAGTAAGTGAAGAAATTATATCTCACAATTGATGGTCGCCTTGAACAAATTGATGTCTATAAAGTAGAAACTATTGGTAAGTAAGTAAGTGAAGAAATTATATCTCACAATTGATGGTCGCCTTGAACAAATTGATGTCTATAAAGTAGAAACTATTGGTAAGTAAGTAAGTGAAGAAATTATATCTCACAATTGATGGTCGCCTCGAACAATTTGATATCTATAAAGTAGAAACAATAGGTGAGTGAGTAAAAAGATTATTTCAAACAATTGAAAAATTTTGATAAGGTAGAAACTATTGGTTAGTTAGCAAGACAGTGAAGAAGTTATTTAATTGATGGTGGCCTCGAAAGCTTTGAAATATCTAAGACTATAGCCACTATTTGGAAAATAGTGAATTCTTATCGTATTTGTAAAAATAGATAATTTTTTATAATGATATTCTCAATATTCTTGAAGTATATTCCTAATGACAAAATACTTGATATAAAACTCTTTCGTATTTTCATTTGTTAAAATTCCCTCTTGTTTCATTTTCCAAAAACACATTAATAGGGATGATCAAAAGTACAGTGGCGATTTTATAATGCTTTGTCTTGGATGACTTAATTAAAACGAACACTCTGACGAGCGATACAACGTGCTAATTAACAAATAATTATACCAATCAAATATAGTTTTAAAGCATGAGCCGCATTTGGCGTCATTTAATTACTCTAACTTTTAAGTGTAAATCTTGAGTGGCCAATAAGGAAGGCTCGCACACTGTATAACATACTTAGCACTTTGAAAAATGCTTCAATCGCAAAACAGTTCAAACAAAATTGCGATCATCGTGTCTGAGTCACAAACCGTTTCTGCTTTGTCATAGTTTTATGGAATCAGCACCACATTCACACATTCATCATTCAATTATTGTCTGATATTCACATGTATTCTATGTTCCATCACACTTCACTCCACGCTTCTCAACTCCATTTAATTTAAAGTCACACCCTTTTTTTTGTTACCATAGTAATTATGACTTCCATCTACATATTGCCACTTCTTAAAGAAAGTTGAATGACTTTAACTTTATCAGTGCCTTATTTGGATTGTTTATTGATTAATCATAATCTGAACGGGGGGTTATAAAATGACGTATTGAACTTCCATATTGCCAATTGCTAGGTTTAAAAATCTCTAGCTTAATCTAAAGGCTCATTTACGAAAGCCTTATGTTATTCTATGTTACCATAGCAATCATATTTCTGAACAAAGGAAGAAATAAACGACATGTTTAATTTCCATATTTGCCAGTCATTCACATATTTTATTTAATCAATCAGTCATTTACGGTTTTCAAGTTCGCGGGAATGAAACTAGTATTTCTTTGATTTCCATTAATTCATTTTAACCCAACGATACATTTTAACTCAAAAGTACACTTGATATCAATATACTGACAGTTTCTGCAAGATACCTTTAACCAAACACCATGACACCTTCTACACAAACACTATCTCAGTTTTATATATACTAGGTACAGTCAAACATGTGAACAAGGCCATCCAACAGTGAGAAAATAATGGTCTTTGCCTACAAGAAGTTTTTATTTGTAGGAAAGATTGTTACATTTTATCAAGGAAAAGTAATCAAAATGTGGCCCTTAAATTCAGGATTATATCTATTTAGAAGTGGTCTTTATCACAGATTTTACTGTACATATATGCTCTCCCTTACGGACGGGCGTATGTTTGGGTGCTCTAACAAATGAAGATTAAATAGGTACCCCCATTGTTCTTTTAGCCGCATTAAGCCACGTAATTTTCTTAAAGAAAATTCAATGTAACCTTATGTTCCAAAAGCCACATAAATTCGTTTTTAAGAAAATCCGAACAAACAAATAGAGGACAAGTCAGTTATGGGAGTAGTTGCAAAATTGCAAAAGCTATATCATTTATCATTACAAACATAAAAGTTGTATAACTTGCCAAACTCCTCACAGTGATTACCTCCCTTGACAGATTGTAATCTTTGTACTGATAAGGGGATATAACTGCGTAGCAGATTAAACTCTCTTTTTTTTCATCAGGAGATGGCTACATGGTCGCATCAGGTATACCGTGTCGGAATGGTGAGAAACATGTAGAAGAAATCGCTAAACTCTCGCTAGATTTGCTCAAATGTGTTGGAGAGATGGAAATTCCCCATCTTAGCTCAAAGAAATTGCAGTTACGAATCGGTTTCAATACAGGTATACAATCATTGACTGTTAGTGTAAAGTTATATAGGCAGTAGTTATGATTGAATTAAAAATAAAATAGCCAAAGACATTCACGGTTAAAAGTGCTGTTTCTTGTAACCGGTCTTTATTTTTTAAAACAGAGAAGAAAATTTGTGGATAGGGAAACACGATGTAAGATTAAGTAAAATATTAATTCGAGATATATGCTAAAAATATATACTAAAAGTATTATTTAAAACAACCTGAAGATTGGAACTGAATCACCTTATATTTGCGCAAATAATCCCTGCCAATGAAAATGTCAAAACGATGACATTGAAAGTGTTTTACGAGAATATTTTTTACTCAGGTTTCAATCAACTAGTGTTTTAATCAGTGTCACTTTACATATACATTTTATTTTGTAAATAGATGTTTATGATAAATTTAATAAATGAGCCGTTTCACGACAAAACCAACGTAATACGTTTGCATCCGCGCAGTCTGATCAGGATCCATGCTGTTCGCTATCAGTTTCTCTACTTGTAATAGGGTTTGTAAGCGAACAGCATGGGTCCATGCTGGTCGCAAACCCATTATGTTGGTTTTGTCGTGACACGGCTCAAATATACAATTCTCAGAACACTTTTTCAATGTAAAACTACTAATTGCGTACATTTTAGGTCCATGTGTGGCCGGTGTGGTGGGCGTGAGAATGCCGAGATATTGCGTGTTTGGTGATACAGTTAATACGGCCTCAAGAATGGAATCCACTGGATTACGTAAGTTACCAAATGTTATATTTGTCAGCAATATTTAGTGAAATACGCAATAGTTATAACCAAATTAAAAATTATATCAAATTATTATGCAAAATTCATTTATAATGAATATCACATGAGACCACTTGTTTTTCATACGTATTTCTTTTTATTTTACACCTTATAAAAATGTAACCAATGGGGTCCCAGAATTTGTACCATGTGATGTTCCAACATAAATCATTATAGAATAAATACTTCCTCGTCTTTAATGCCGAGTAAAAGTCCAATTCAAATGCATATTGCACTCCATTTAGCCTTGTTTCCATCTTTCAAGTCCAAATAATCAATATTAAATCCAAAGTGTACTCTATCCGTCTTCTTTTTCATTTTTGGAGTCCGAAAGTTTCATATCAAAACCTTTTATATAACACAAAAACACTGTTGATTTTGAGCGTTTTCTTTACTGTGTTTTCACCTTAAGAAATACTGATTTGAAATAAAATAAAGTTCATTACACATTGTTAGGTTCTAGATTTGTACTGGTTCTTGATCAGTGCAAAGCTGCAAAAGCTATATTGGACCCAGCAATAACAACTGTGTACTCGTACAATAGAATTTAGTTTTCTTTAATACAATGTAGTGAATGACATCTTGTGTGTGGTTCATTATATCGCATAATGTACGTGGGGCTAGTAACCATCAATATATAAAATTCGGATACTTGTTTGTGTCAGTATTTTGAATTTAAGACATAATTTTTATCACCTGTTAATAATCTGAGCAATGCATAGAGTTTACATAAATGTATTTTGTTTGTTTTAGCATTACATATTCAGATGACAGAAGCGTCGGCCATCTTGCTCCAGAAACGTGTTGGATTTATTGTCACTGAACGTGGAAATGTCGAAGTCAAGGTATTTCTGTCTTGTACATTTCTGTTGTAATTAACGAGAAAATGGCATCATTAGTCCCTTTGTTCAGAACAGCATTTGTTTTCAATGTACCTTATGGTTTGTTTCTGGTAAGCTATATGAAATAAAAATTGACCTGTGACTGACTACTGGTTTACTATGACCTTTTGTAAATTATAAGTACTTTTTAAAATCAAAACATTGTTTCCTTCCTTTTAATCGTGCAAATAAACAGTTACCATAAAGTAGTTAATCGAACCATCGCGTGTAGGTTTGTTTCAATGTGGGTTTGTTTCATCGTTAATTTTCCTACAACTAAGGCATATTACTTGAAATATTTCAATGTCATCTTTTCAACTTTTTTATAAGAAAAAAACAACAACAGACAACAGGACTTCAATTGTAACCGGAAGAAGATAGCAGACAATGGGTCAGACAAAATAAAAACCGTTTTACCTTGTACCATATCTTCTGATTTTCAATTTTGTATATAATTAGGATTCAAGTTTCAAGTTTATTCAATAAATATCCCATTGCATAAAATTTAACAATACCAAAATATGAGAGAGGTAAACGGTATTAATACCTATGTTATTATATAAAGTAACAAACTGAAGGTGTATTTCAAGGCCATTAAATTATTATATGGCAATATCTAGGCCTTTATGCAACTTTGGCCGCCTTACTACCCGGCATCATTTTTTCCATAATAGGCAAGCGAATTCATGAGCGCACGTACATCTGGGCGTTTGATTATACATGATATTTTATATATGAGCATATTTTTAGCACAGAAACTGATCAAAAGACCGATATTGCTCATAAAAATCCTTATTTACGTGAAACTTGACACCAATGATGTATCAAGCGGTAATGAACGTATTGAAAATCGTGTAAGTTAACAGTGAGTTAATTAACCCGTTCAAAGTCTCCAACAATTTGTACTTAATCAGTGTAAAATTTGTAAAAGGTTAAACATTGTTTATGATACGTCATTTCCGGTCACCATTTTATCACTTATTTTTCCGTAAAATCACTGAAGCATCATTATTCAAAGGATTAATGAGCACAACTTTTTCGTAATGATAAATACTTGTAACTTAAGCATATCTACGGAGCCCCTAAGGTGACATTTTCCACACTTTTTCCCAGAGACTTCATTCGTTTTTACGAAATAATAATTGGTAATTACGAAATATTAGTTCGTTTTTACGAAATATTATTTCGTAATTACGAAATATTAATTCGTAATTCGTAAAAACGAATTTATGTTTCGTAAAAACGAATTGATATTTCGTAATAACGCATTAATATTTCGTAAAAACGTATTACATGTATTATTATTATTTCGTAAAATCAAATTATTATTTCGTAAAAACGAATTAATATTTCGTAATTACGAATTAATATTTCGTAAAATGAATTAAGTCCCGGTAAAAAGTGTAGAAAATGTCACTTTAGGGGCTCCGTACATATCCTGGCAAAAGATCAATGCTCTTGTTTCTTTCAAATTGCAAAATTGCTAAAGCATGATAATTTTTACTGGTTTGTATGAGAGCAGATGTGATTTTTTTCGCATTATCATTAAAGTGAATTGGTTCATGGATAATGAAAGGCATTTGATTCCAGAAATAATTTTGTCGATAGCTTGATTTATTATATATGAGAACAAATCATGAATGGGAGAGTTTTCAAAAAAGCTTCCTACTCAATCAGTAAAAGTTATTTTATTTACTTTATTATGTAAATTAAATTATCACAAAATAAATATTGTTAAACTAATTCATGAATGAAATATATATAGATGTTGTTGGTAAGTGTGAGAAACGTGATCCGATATCATGGATCTATTTATAGCAGATAATTAACTGTTCGAGAATAAATTACTAAGGTATACATCATTTTTCTTAGGAAAAGGGATTAATGCGCACATATTTGAGAACTACTTTTCACGTATAATCACTAAGGCATATATATAAATTTATTACAGGGCAAGGGATTAATGCGCACATATTGGTTGGAAGGCTATGAAAGGACCATAGCATCTCCTACACAACATGAAGAGAAAACATCTATTCCACTGGAACACACATCAATAGAAGTTATGCAAAGACATTTATGACTTTAAGACTATAGATTTTAGCATATCAGACTGGTGTTTCCGTAAGTTTAAAGCCAGGCTAAAATTTCCAACCGGCATTGGGGTGCTAGATGAAATAAAATGAAACTGCGTTCTTTGGATGACGCCATTTCGCCGTTATGAATGAAGTTATAAATTCTTAATGCACCGAAATGACGCCATTTAAACGCACTTCATTAATAAAATGGACTAAAATGGCGTTTCTATTAAGCACGAGACTCATCTGGCACCCCATATTACTCTCAGTGACATGTATAATATTTGTACACATAGCATTGTGTTACATCTGTTTGCCTTTGATCACAATTCCGTCTGCAAAATAAGAGTATTTTATATAAAACAATATTGAAAAAAAATACAAAAATGTCTTTTTGTTTTGTTTTTTATTGTTTGTAAATAATACAAGTAAAGTTATCGTATCATTTTGTTGTCATTTACTCCACTATGATAAGGCCTGTTCGTTAGAATTTATCTGAATTAAATGTTACACAGATTTAATGCTAGACAGTAGCATAATTTGTCTGATTAATTAGCTAACGTACTGAAAGCCTACAAGCCTATGTCCAACGTTTGATACAAATAAGTAATTAAAAGACATTCACATCCGTAGTTTTCAATTCATTTTTAATTCACTCAGATCATGCAAACATGACAACATGAGGTAATAATACAATAACATGTACATAATAAATGAGGCTTCAGAACATGATATATAAATTGTTAACATAAATATTGCGGGAGAGTCAGTATTACAACAAATACTTCAATAGAGTTCTCCACAACATTAAATTTATACAATTTTTGGCTCATTTGAATCTTAATATAATTTCTTTAATAAATAAACAAAGTTTTTTTGTAATCTGAAAGGTTAACATCAGTGTTCATAAGAAGATCAATAGAATGTATATTATGTTTCTTTCAATAGCTAGGTTTCAAAAAACGTTTCCTGCTGTCATCAAAACACGGACACCCAAAAATATCATGAAATTCATCACCAATTGATCTATCACACAGTATTCAGACACGCCTGTTAAGTTCGATGTTGTTTCAACTTCCTGTTTCTACTGGCAATTTCTTATTTCTTGTTCTAAATTTTATCATGTATTGTAAAAATTTTGATGGAGTTTTTACAAGATATGTTTCAAAACAAAAATTATGTTTAAATAGTCTATAAGTTGTGCATTTACTAGAATTCTCAATACCAGAATACCACTCATTCAAAAATAAATCTGATAATTTTTGTTTGACTGACATCGTTAACCATTTAAGGTTATGAATTTCATGGTTGTGTCAAATGTTATACAGTCCACATTCATACAAAATATTCTAAACAAATTTTATCCACTGAAATCTTAATCTAGATACAGTCTGGGAGCTATTAAAATTATTTAACAAAATACGATATATCAAACACGGTAACTTGTTCTGTCGTGGGATATAATTCTACATTTAATTCCAATAGATAGTGGTTTAACACCAGTAGTAAAGTACATTTTCAGTTTATTATTGAGTACATAAAGAGAGGTCATGCCAGTTCTCAAATGTCATAAAGAGTCATTAAAAATATAGGTTAATTGCGTTTGACATTATGATAAGCTTACATGTATCATTCATTAATGAATAAGTATTTGTTATAAATTTATAATTTTGTGGGAAATCTAAACAGATCTTGACAAAACTTCCCCGTCGCCAATTTGATTAAAACACTTATTGTAATATATCCTGATCAAATGTTTGCCAAGTTGTGCTTTTGTTCGGGAATTAAAATACATATATTTATTTACGACATTCAACGCATGTCACTTTATGGGTACATCATACGATTTTATACAATTTGTTTAATTAAATATGAAAGATATGCCTCAAAATTTTGCTATAAAACACACGATAATTATCGCCTCAAAATGGCTAAATTTAGTACTAAATTTCGCATGTCTTAAATTTCGCTAGTCTCTCATGTGATATTTACTATTTAGCGCTTTTCTCTAGACCAGGGACATTTTAAACTAGCGAAATTTAACAACTTCGCCTCAAAGGTTTGTGGACAAAATAGGACACCGTAGAAAGGTGATGAAATATTGTAAACAATCCAATGATAACGAAAATACTAGTTTATGCCATCAAGAAGAATTTATAAAAACGCCTGGGTCAAATGATTAAAAGTAAGAAGTGAGTCAAAACGGTGGAATTTCTAGTTACACATTTATATTTTTTTTTTAAACTGTACTGAAAGTCGTAAGAATATAAGATTACAAATACGATTTTTTCGATTTCTTACCCCCCGCAACATGTTCTTGATTATATATGCCTTAACCTTCTAAAAGTCTTAAATGGACTTGTCCAGATTCCTTGTTTGGAACTGTACATATTTACTTTTGGGGATATCAGGATGAAGCTTGAAGCAAGTCAGCAAAATATACAGAGTGTGGTTAGACAACAGGGGTGTGCTGGCTGGCCTTGCTTTTTACTATGTAGATCAACTGGCAAAGGCCTTTCACTTCCAGCAAGGGATAAAAATATCATTCTAACACGCTTCTAATTATTTCCCCATTAATTAAACAGAAAGGTCAGTCGAATGCATTATTACACAATATATTCATTGCATATACAGGAATGGTATACTTACTGCGTCAATGGTGTTAAATGTGTTGTTAACAAATTCAGTGTTTCAGACAGAAATTGAGAATAATAATTACTTTTCAGTACTGTTAAAAGTTCAAATACATATTCAATTGCGCCTATTTTTTTAAGTTTATGTTTCCGGTGCAAAACAATAAATTGATTTAAATGAAATAATGCCATGATAAAAGAAAAAAAATGAACGCTCACGTGACAAACTCTTAAAATATTCAGCAAGAAGTAAAAGTTATATTTAAAAAAAAAGAATGCGTAACTTCAGATTCGCACACGAAACACCATTTTCATAACAACGCTCTTACCACTGCGCCTCTCGGGTTAATGTCTCCATTTCCAATGCTATTCTACTATGTAGCGACAAAAATACAAAATGAAATAATTATATACATTATATACTTCTTTATCGATTGAAAACAATGTCAATTTCTAGTATTTCCACTGATAAACTTTAGTGAACTGTAAGAACAGGAAAGTAATTTGTAATTAAAAGGGCTGTTTTCATTTCAACAAAGAAAATGATTTGATAATGAAGAATGATAGGATACAAGTGGGTACATTTACCTGGAGGCCGAACTTTAAATAAGTTTCAGCCATGTACTAGTTTGAATAAGAAGAATACTCAAAACTGACAAAGAATCTTATTCTCAAAGGATAACCTTTGCAGATTTTTCTATTTAAGACCTTCGATCACTTTATTTTTGAAAGAATTTCAAATTTTATGGTTTTTTTTATTTAATTTTAATCTCAGTGGTGGAGCATCTTTGACTTTTCCCTGTCTACCGTAATATCACATCAGTTCACGTGTACTTACTCAAGCGCAATCATTAACCAACTATTGGCGTTTCATAATGAAAAAAATGTTTGTTTTATAATCAGATCAGTGTCTGATTACAAACAATTAAGGTGAAAATTCTCGAATGAAACTGAGGGTAAATTACAGTGTTTTACTTTTCAAACAGATTTATTGTGCTTCAGAAACATTTTTCAATCAAGGTTTTGGATAAGATTAGGAGGGACTTAGTTCTAAAAATAATTATCCTGGTAAAAATCATGCCTGGGTATTAATAAAGCGATCGCGCATGCTCAGTTCATGGAATCTTTCCACGTTTTGCACCATCTTGTTAATGTTAATATATACATTATGTCACGTATACAACTAGTAATGTGAAGTCTACTTGCACCACTAAAGCAGGAAGATCGCCCTATAGCCTTTACAGTGTGTGACTTAAAACCTAAAAACAACAACAACAACAAAGGTTTGCAGTGGCAATTGGTTGACATTAAAAAATAATGATATGTAAGCAGAAATGTGTACATTTTGTTTTTAAACATAATTTCCGAATATATGTATGACCTTATCACTGTAGATCTTGTATACTGATCTCGGTCATCAGCCCAGTGTCAATTCAAGTGGTCGTTCTTGCCAGCAGTTTTAACTGTTTCCATGTAACACGCTGGCGATTGTATTTTGGTATGTGGAGATCCAGACACCTTAAAATCTAAATAAAATCTCAGCACATATACTTACCATATATTATATCAATAAAACTTTCATATACGCTGTTTTGAAAATACACACTTGAAAATCTGTAAATTTGTAAATCTGGATTTGGATTTTAAGGCTTTTGTGGCTCCACACTCCCAAGTGTTTGTGTAAAAAACTATTCGTTATACAAAGAAAAGTTTGTTATGATCTCATATGATATATTCTAAGATTTATATACCTGCAGCAATGTATATGGGAAATATTATCATATAATGAACTCGGTATCAGATTTTCAAAAGCCCATAAGTCATATCAGTTAAGCTATGTTCAAAATATAGTTTGATAATATAGGTCGATGAGTCAAGTAATTAATGACCAAGTGACATGAAAACAATAGCACATCCCGTCCCATAAATGTTTATGGAAATACTTAAAATAAAAAAATAATTTGTCTAAGGGCGTCCGTCACATACCGTATGTGGCGCCGTTATATGTCGCAACGCCGCTAAATGTCGCACTTACCGCTAAATGTCGCACCATTGCCGCTAAATGTCGCAACCGCCGCTAAATGTCCCAAAATCATTTGCCGCTAAATGTCGCAATGTTAACGTTAAATGTCGCAAGAATTTCCCATACCGTTAAATGTCGCAACACTGCCGTTAAATGTCGCAAGATGTAAATTCATGTTAAAATCATGATTAAAAATAGTATTATTTTACTTTTTAACGCTCTCATAGTTATTTTTTTACTGTAATTGCCATTTAACAAAAAGTATCTTTGTTTTAATGAACCTAAATATCGAGGTTTTGAGCTGCTATATACTAGTAATGTAATCTTGACGCTAGAAAGCTTATTCTAGAAAGATACAATTGAAATTCAATTCTCAATAGATAAGTATTTTTCTTTTGTCTCCCTTT